TCAGCTTGCAGGTATTTTAGACCTAGTACTTCGTCCTTTGATTTTTATGTCCACAGGTGAATTGTTTGAGTTGACTTTGTGATTCTTTTTATGGTGGTCTAAATCCTTCTTTTTTGCAAATGCTTTACCACATGTATTACACTTAAGCAGCGAAAAGTTTTTGGTCAACTTAACTTCAATGCCAACATCTGCTCCTTCAGATTTTTTGGCGGATGAGGAGGATGCCCCATCTTGTTTTAAACCAGTTTTTTTCATTTTGTCTTTTTGAGGACCTCTTTTTGAAACCTTGTCCAGAATTGTTTCAATTGGTTTTTTTATGGCTCTGCTCTCTAAACCTGCAGTTATTTTAATCAGTGCTCTCTGGGACTTTTTATGTACCACTGTTATGTGACGTATCACATCACGTTTCCTCCGAGTCTCGTAGGAGCAAAGAGGACATCTGTAAAACTTAACAAAAATGCAGTTCCCATCTGTGTGCAACTCTATATGTTTTGTTAGATTCTGCTTAGATGTGAACTGCCGTTTGCACAGTTTACAGTAAAGTTGCTTGAAGTCAAAACCAGCTGATAGTTTAGGCTTTTTAAACTTCTTCTTGTCATCACTTGGTGAACTGCCAGGTTTAGGGGAATCACCATCAGATTTTGCTTTACCCTTTAGCACAGCTGTACTCTTTTTCTCTTGTGCATGGTTTGGACCTTTGGATTCACCCTTGGGTGAGCTTTTTACAGTATTTGATGAAGAGTCTATCATATTTGTGTCTTCTGTTTTTATTTTACTGTCTGAAGTACTGATGTGATTCTGTCCTTTATCTGATTTGACATTGGTTCCAGGGGATGCTGTTTTATGTACTATCTTTACATGTTTCTTGAGCAGAAACTGAGAGGTGTAACGTCTGTTACAAAATGGGCAAGTACACGAAGTGAGATTAACTTCAGACTTTGCTGGAAGTTTCTGTGTGCGAGAAACAGTCTTCAGTAATTTTTTAGGCGTTACAGCCTCAGGAGTTGCATTTTTACTAGGTTTAGTATTGATTTCCTGAGTGGCATAGTCTCTTCTCATCCCTCTGTGAACTTCATCAATGTGTCTCCTTGTATTTGCTTTAGTTGCAAAAGATTTGTGGCATATGTGACAACTTTTGCTTGCTCCTGTATAGATCAAATTAACGTGACCTTTTGTGGACGATAAGGGTGTATTTCGCTGAATTTCAATGAATTTCTTAATATCCTCTATTTTTTTCTTGTGCACCTTCTTAATATGTCTACGTACACTACGTCTACAGTTAAAATCCTTCTTGCAAAGCCGACATGAAAAAGGATTGCTGTTAGAAGCTCTTTTAACATTTTTGTCATTTTTTGATGCATCAGAAGTTTCTACACTTGGATAATTAGAAGCTGTATCCTTTTTACCACCCTCACATGAAGCAGGTACTACAGTTACACTTTCTGAAGTTAAGGCAGACGAAGGGGCTGAAGTTGTGTCTTCCTTCTGAATGTCAGGGGAGTCAGATGTAATTTTTACATCAAGGTTTACTGCGTTAATGGGCTTAACAGTCTGGAAAACGGCATTCTGGTTTGTTTGGATAGGTTCTAATTGTACAACATATTCTGCTTGATTAGTTCTTGGATATACTGTGTCCAGTAAGTCTTTTACAGCTTGACTTTGTATACTTTCATTGGGAGGATCTAGAGAAAAGAAAGAAAAAAATTTATACATATATATATATATATACACATCTTTCTGTCAATATTGCGCTGAGTAATGATATTTTGTAGCATTCTCTACACCAAAATTGCTTTACAGTCGTAAGACTGGGTAATTTTACTATGTGACCAGAATAAAATATGAAATTGTACGGTGTGTAGATTTACCTGCTAATAACCATTTTGTGTATTTATACACATTACACGTTTTTTCTGGAGATAAATGTGGCTTCTTTTGGTTAAAAAAAACCCTAAAAAATTAATTAGGGTTTATCATTTATTGGTTGTTTTCCTACAATGTCTCTGGGACTAAGCCCATTTATGCTTCACATTATTTGCTCGGGCATGAAAACCCATTCACTTGAATGGGTTCCTGTGCCAACGTTTCCTGCACAAAAAAAGGTGCATGCACCTTTTTGAAAATGTGTCCGCAGGGAAACCGCATGGTAATCTTGACCATGCGGTTTCGCTACAGTTCCTACCCACAATCGTGCTGCGGCTTGAGATGTGTGGGAGTGCTATTCAGAATAAATGGCAGCCATGCACGTCTTGTAGGAGCAGCGTGATTCAACTGTGGGTGGTTGCGGGAACACCTGCGGGCTAATATGAACCTAGCCCAAGTCTGATTACTAGAATCAGGAACTCATTAAATGTATCCCCCTTACCAGAAGAAAACAAAACCATGCTTTTGAACAATTGTGAACTTTAAATGTAACTCCACTTCTGTTAAAAAAAAAAAAATCTTCTCTGGGTGATCTATGTACATGCACAGATTTTTTTTGAACTGAAGAAACAGCTACTTTTTTTCACAATTTCCTTTCCACACTAATTCCTGACTGGGTCGATGTTCAAAATAATCACCTAGTGCCGTGGTGGGCAACCTTTTTTTTTCAACTGAGCCAAATCTCGCCAAAACCACGATTGAAATTTATTTTGAGAGCCACATTTTTAAAACTGAAAATACATAGGATGGTACACTGTTTTTAGTTTCAATAAGTTTTTATTGAGAATATTCTGCATGCAAGTATCCACATAGGTCGGGAGGATACAAATAACAGAACTAATAAAACAAAAACTTTAGAACGATATTATTTATCGATAACGTTAAATTCCGTAAAATTTGCCTTACAATATAGAGAAAATTACATCCTGACAATGACTGACAAAGTCACAACCACTAATGTGAACATTGGCCTTGCATTTCCTTGGATAGTTTGAGTAAGTCAGGTTTGTATGTTGTTGTTTTTAATTTTAGGCACGATTCCAGGTTCTCATCGATGAGACGATTTCTCAATTTACTCTTGATAAGGTTCATGCTTGAAAATGATTGTTCGCATAAATATGTAGACCCGAACAAGGAAAGAACAGCAAACGCTAGCTTTTTTAGTTGATTATATGAGTCAGGAATACTATTCCAGGTGTTAAAAATCAACATCAACATATCTTCCTTCTCCAGGTCTTTCAAAGCAGACCACTTGTTCTGTGAACTAAGTTCACATTTGTTTTTCTCCAATCTTTCTAAATCAGCACAAAGACGTTCAAATTTTGAGCTCCACAGTTCTTTGTTTTTTAAATCCATCAATTGCATTTCAAAGTTGCCAATGTCGATATTAAAGGGAGAAAAATTTAATTCCGTTACAGTGGCATCCAGAGGTTTTTTAACAAAGGCCAACGTCGCTTTGCTGTATCTGAATTCCTGAAACCTCTTGAGAAAAGCTTCCCTCATATTTAAAAGTGCTGTTTTAAAATAGATAATGTCAATATGAGAATTATTTTCTTGGCGATGTTTCAACAGGCTTGGAAAGTGAATCAAAGTTTCTCTGTCAAAATCTTGAGCAAAAACAGATAATTTGTTTTCAAACTAAATAACTTCTTCTAACATTGAAAAAATTGTGTTTCCTTTCCCCTGTAGTTTATGATTAAGCTGATTTAGATGGGAAGTAACATCCACCATGAAATACAGTTTTTGGGTCCACTGATCGTTTGTTAATTCTGGATAGTGAACACCCTTCTCGAGGAAAAATGCTTTGATTTCTGATTATAAGGAAGCAAAACGTTTCAAAACGTTTCCTCTTGATAACCAACGTACCTTGTTATGCAGCAGAAGATCTGCATACTCACTCTCAATTTCAACTAAAAATTCTTTAAATTGGCGATGATGAAGAGCTTTAGCTACAATGGAGTTGATCATCTTAGTCACCAATTCCATAACTTTGCACATTTCTTCTGGAAATGTCTGCGCACAAAGTGCTTCTTGATGTATGATGCAATGATATGCAAGTATCTCGTGACTAATTTTTTCTTTCATAATAGCAACAAATCCATTTCTTACGCCGGTCATACTTTTTGCCCCGTCTGTTGCAATTGAGACGATTTTATCAAGTGGAATATGATATTTTTCAATGCAACCAATTACAGCATTTGCTATATCCTCTCCACGTGTTTGACCTTTCAGTGGCAATAATCCTAAAAGTTCTTCTTTAGGACCTGTAGCTGACATAAATCTTACAAAAAGTGAAAGTTGAGCTGTATCATTTAAGTCACAAGACTCGTCAACTGCTATTGATAAAGCTGAAACCACTTTAAGATCATCAACTTGTTGGTTGGTTATATTGGAAGACATTTTGGCTGTTCTATCCTTCACTGTTTTAGCAGACAATGGCAACTCTTTAATTTTTTTTAGAATTTCTTCTTTGTTCTTAAAATCCCTGAATAACTCTTCTGATGCACTTATAAAACAACGTTTTATGTATTCGCCATCTGTATATGGTTTGCCTCTCTTAGCAATCTCTTTACTAACCGCAAAACTTGCAAAATTAGCATAGTTGGAAGACTGCACCCACTGATTAAACGCAGAACTTGATTTTTCTTGACTCTTCAGAAGTTCCTCAACTGCTTTCTTCCTTGCATCACCAACAGGATATTTATTACTAAAGGACAAGTGTTTTGTTGTAAAGTGTCTCTCCAAATTAGATTTTTTGTTATGCGCCAATTTTTCTTTACAAATAAGACAGGTCGGAAAGCCATTTACGTTCTGAAACGCAAAAGTCTCGGTCCATTCCACTTTAGATTCACGGTTTTCGTCTTCCGTTTTTCGTTGTTTTTTCTTTGTAGCCATGTCAAACAGGGCACCTATAAAAATGTTTCATTTTAAAATAAAGCCACCAACACCAAACCGGCATCCTTAATCACATAAAAAAGTAATATTGGAAGTATTTATCTGTGGATGACACACTGTTATTTATCTGTGGATGACGCACTGTTATTTATCTGTGGATGACGCACTGTTATTTATCTGTGGATGACGCACTGGTATTTATCTGTGGATGACGCACTGGTATTTATCTGTGGATGACGCACTGTTATGGGGGATCTGTGGATGACGCACTGGTATTTATCTGTGGATGACGCATATATGGCATCTTATGTGTGTGTAAATAGTATTATAAAATTAGTGGGGCTCATCATGGATATTTTAAGCAGGGTTCTCCACCTTGATGGATACACCCAAACAGTAGGCAAGAAGTAAAAGTAATAAAACAGGCATGCACACATTGCACTGGCTCTGCAGTCAAGTTGAATAAAAGTAAAAAATGACAACATAAAATGAAATAAAAATCAAGATACAACTAAAAAAGTACATATAAAAGTATGTGAAAACACACTCAAATAGTCCTCATTGGTACTGTTATATATTGACCTCAGAACCTGGCCACTAACTTATTTTGTTGGCTCCTAGATTACGATATTCCGCAATTTTAGGTCCACACCCCCCTTTTCACATAAACCCTTTTTATGTCAATCCCACAATGTCACATTTCTCCCCTCATGTCACATTTCTGCCCCTCCATGTCACACTTCTCCCCTCGTGTCACATTTCACCCCCTCGTGTCACATTTCTGCCCCTCGTGTCACATTTCTGCCCCTCGTGTCACATTTCTCCCCCCTCATCCCCCATTCATCCCCATATAGTAATATATAATTCATCCCCCATATAGTAATTCATCCCCCCTATAGTAATTCATCCCCCCTATAGTAATTCATTCCCCCTATAGTAATTCATCCCCCATATAGTAATTCATCCCCCATATAGTAATTCATCCCCCATAGTAATTCATCCCCCATATAGTAATTCATCCCCCATATAGTAATTCATTCCCCATAGTAAGTCCCCAAGTCCCCCCTGTGTCAATTCACTTACCTTTGCTCCGCGCGTTCCTCTCGCCGTGTTCCCGCACCATTCCGGTCTTCAGGGCAGACTGTGAGAGGAGCCTAGCTCCCCTCCCCTCACGTTGGTCACGCTGCCCCGCCTACACACATCCTGACAGCCACATCCGCGGGCCGGATTAAAAGGTCCGCCGGGCCGTATGCGGGCCGTAGCTTGCCCATTGCTGGCCTAGCTGCAGAGTCCTGACTTTTGGGGCGGCCACCCAAGAGGAGGGAGGGGAGCGGGCGCCCGGCACACAGAAGAGCCGCATTAGAGTGTGTAAAGAGCCGCATGTGGCTCGCGAGCCGCGGCTTGCCGACCACTGACCTAGTGAAATCCAAGTGTCCGGATGAGTAAAGCTGCTGTTTTGGCATCCCTTTTAAAAGTAGTTGACCCTTAGGAAGTATGTCACCAAAGTTGCAGTTCCTTTTGCAAGGATGCCTAAAATTTGACTATTTTACTACAACTGCAACTGAGAAAATCAATGAGCCAACCACTACAGTAAGAAATGCTGTTTCTGGGGCATTCCATACCATAAAGGTGTACAGAATGCCTCCAGGTTGCCATATTGCATTGAATTTTTTTTACAGTTTTGGAAAATGAAAGGGACTGTAATTTGAAATGAAAAGGTAATTTTTTTTATAACATTACATTACAAAATTCCATTCGTTATTTATCTTTTACTGAATGACCCCTATATCTTTTCCACTTATAACTTGAGCTTTTTCAGTGCTAAATTTACTTGCTATAGAGCTTGGACTGGCTATGTGATTAT